GAAAAATTGCTATAGGTTTTATAATAAGCAATAATAATAATTGAGCATTGCAATTTCTATTCAAGTGGAATATATCATTTTGTGCTCTAAGCTTGTATTGTATTTGAATAAATTAGCAATGTTTTTTTAGAAACAGAAATAATATCTGCTTCTGATAATCATATTGTATTTTCAATGCCTTTGCGCTTCGATTACTTAGGAGCTGAGAAGCGGCAAGTAGCATTGAATGAAAATTTCAAATATGTTTCACAAGTTAATTTGCAAAGAATGCCTAAATTATGTCACAATATCACGTATTGCTTCAAGAATTATTAAAATATGTATAAGAAATGTATTGGCGTTTGAAGTTTGTAATTGACTTAAGGTTATTCTCAGTCAAAATCAGTGGCGTACATAGCAACAAAACTATTATTTAATTGCATATTAATCAAGTTTCTTCGATTTCGTTTTCATTTTGTTTTTCATTCCGTCGATGCATATCGCAACATGCCAAATGTAGAAATGAATGTTAAAGTATATTTTTTCAATATTTTACACCTGTAAAACGTATCATACCGTAGTTTGTGATTTATTTGCTAATATTATTCAGAAATTTAAATAATTACTAATAATATTAGAATTTACGAAATATGAAAAATTTACTATAGAAAATCGATTTCAACATTGATTATAGAAATAAATTTGAATGAATTTGTAACTAAGTAAATAATTTCAAATTTTCTATGCGCATTGTTTATAACATAAATCAACATAATTATTACCAACAATTACCTGTAATTAATATAAATTAAATAGTGTAACTTGCAAATAATTGAATTATTTTCAATTTTTCATACGTAATTTTTTGAAACACAAATTTACTTAATTATTACCATTCGTAAATATATATTTTTGTAATTTATTTAATTGACAAACGCTATATTGCGTAACAACCATTAATTACGAAATTAACTTAGCACGTATCCATCAAGGAAAAAACTATAAACCTGTTCGTTTTGACATATAATTGCAAATATAAATTACATGTTTGTTTTAGTAAGTGAACATACGTTTAATTATGAATCTATATATTTTTTCTCTGTGATAATATTATTTATAATTAATGACCCACCGGTGGGTCATGCCGTCGTCAATGTATTAAAATCATAGCAATTTGACACGCTCCGAAGAAGACGCCGCAAAATGTCAAATGTGTGAAAATTTGTAGTAAATTTTACTGAACGAAGCAGATGTTTGATGCTCGAAGCCAATCTCGATTCTGTTAATTAACTTAATCGCTTGAGCATTGAGGAAGAATAGGCGCGCCGAAGAATGGAGGAGAAGTGCAAGTTTGTAGGTAACAGTTGTCGCGGATTGTGGTAACTGTTAAAGCCTCGAGTCCGTCATCTGCACACGCTCCGCGAGTGTCTCCCGATGATATCCTTTGGAGATCCGGAATATTGCTAGAACGACTATTTACGGTCGCATTGTGAGGATGAATGGGTCGTGAGCGGTCACGATTCCTTCTTCTCTTCTCTGCAGCTCTTTGCAAAAGGAGGGAATGCAATAAAAAAGCGAGGAATAGGAAGAAACCACCGAAGGGCAGTGCAAGAACGAAATATGGGAGTAGGAGGAGGAAGGTATAATAACAATGTATGAAGATTTCTCGGGTCGCGGTTTTTAATGAAGCGCAACAACAATGATGAAGGATTGTTCGCATGAGGATGATGGCCGAGTCCGTGTCCCCTTGGCTCGGGCATCGGCAATTAATCTAACATTACGTTTTCGAGTACTCGCTCTTCCTTCTCTATCTCTTTCTCTGTTTCTCGCTCGTTGCATAACTGTATAAAATGATATGTTTCAGATGCTTGGACCTAAGCTATGTATGCTATGCAACAGCAACGTACAGTTAAGATTACCTCGACGGCTCGCGGTCTCCTCCACGGCTAACTATTAATAATTGCAAATTTACGAGCGCATTGTTTTGACCCATGGGAAATCAACTAATAAATAAAGAATAAGCGAGAAGAACACGATACGAACAAATCAAACGAAAAAAGGAAAAAAGAAGAAAATTAACATTAAGGATCGGCTGAGGTTTCAGCTTCCAGTTGAACTTCCGATCCCATTTGAATTGATAATGGATGGACCTAGCCTATATTTAGAATCCGAAACGCCGCTGCTGTTTATCACCCTTCTCCCCTCGAGGGGCGCACCCAAATGGCACA